GATCTTTTTGAGACAGGGTGTCCCCGTAGCCCCAGCTGGCCTGGAACTCACTATATAGACCAGACTGGCCTTGAACTCACAGAGATCCACTTGCCTCTGCCTCCCGAGTGCTGGGATTAAAGGCATGTGCCACTACGCCTGGCGTGATCTGACTTTTTTATTTAAATTGTATTTTATACATGAGTGTTTTGGTTACATGTATGTAAGTGCTCCCATGTGTGCAGTGCCTGTGGAGATCAGAAGAGGGCATTGGATCCCCTGGAACTGGAGTTACAGATGGCTGTTAGCCACTGTGTGGCTACTGGGAACTGAACCCAGGTCCTCTGGAAGAGCAGTCAGTGCTCTTAAATGTTGAGCCATCTCTCTAGTCCCAATCTGAGTTTATATGTATCATTTTTTCAGAAAACCTGATTTTGACTTTGGGGACATGTGGAAATCTTGGCTATAAAATGCTTCTAATCTAATGTTGTGAAATGAATTAACACAAAAGATTGTTATAGGCCACCAAAGACAACTCAGTGGGTAAAGAACTTGCCACTAAGCCTGACAACCTTGAGTTCCATTCCTGAGACCCACATGGTAGGAGAGAACAGTTTCCCACAAGCTGACCTCTACACTAGGGCCATATATACACAAAATACACACAATAAATAAATGTAATAATAAAAAGATTATGGGTCAGGCGTGGTGGCACACGCCTTTAATCCCAGCACTCGGGAGGCAGGGGTAGGTGGATCTCTGTGAGTTTGAGGCCAGCGTGGTCTCCATAGTGAATCCAGGACAGCCAGGGCTACAGGGAGGCCCTGTCTCAAAAAGACCAAAAAAAAAAAAAAGATTATATTATCTGAGAAATAAGGTGAGTACCAACTCATTTTCCTGATGATGCTGAGCCGAAGTAGCTTAATAAACTTAAGTATGTTTTACTTATGGATTAAAGACACCCAGCATTATGCTTCTTATTCCAATGATTTAAATCATGTTGCATAAAGACATACATTGAAGACAAGGTATCAAAGCCACGGCACTAGATCCTTAATGACTAGAGTATATTAATGACAAAAACAGAAGTGGACCCTGTGTGGGTCAGGAGGTCTACCCATGAGAGTGTGGTATGGTCACAAGGTACCAAGACATAACAAAAATAAACCTCACATTACCCAAATTCACTCAGACGCTCAGCAATATATTCACTGGTGAACTATAAACCAAGCGCTCTTCTGGATGCCGGGAATGTGCAACAGCTATTCAAGGAGGGGTGGTAGCAGACTGGTTGAGGGTGGTTTGACGATAATGCAAAGGAAACAAGTAATGAACTACGGCAAGAGACTAGCAGGAGGCAGGCAGCGGACACAGGGCAGGATCCTGCGGGGCCTGCGAGGCCCAAGACTGCATTGACTCTGAATGAAATGAGAGGTTTTCAGCACAAGAGCGACAAAATTTACTCATATTTTAATTTGATCCTCAGGTTGCTTATGTTAAAAGCAAATGTAAGGCAAATAAAAGCCTGAGAGACCCTGTGGGAGGCTTGTGAAGGAGTTTAAACTTGATAATGCTGACTTACACTAGTAAGTTGGATTCTAGATGTGTTTTGAAGATAACAGGATTCTTGATGAGGTATCAAGGATGACTGTGGAGTTAGAACATGGAATAGGCATCAATGAGATGGGGAAGCTGTATAGCAAGACTAAGTTTATTTTAGGTCAGCTGAGTCTGAGATGTGCATTACACATTCTGGTGGAGACGGTAGAGGGCATCTGCACAGGACGTGGCGCTCAGGAGCAGTGTGGCTAGACACAGTTCAGGACTTGACAGTACAAACAGCCTTTAAAGCTACACCAGGAGAGGAGGCCTGAGACTGCCAAGGGCTAAAGGAGCATTCCAACGTGAAAGAGGAGGAGCCTACAAAGAAGACTGAGCCCAAGTTCCCGTGAACCAGGAGGAAAACCAAAGTGGGTTTCCTGGAAAGCAATAGAGGGAATAGGGTCACAGTGGCAGTAACCAACTGCGGTCAATGCTGCAGGCAGACCAAGTCAGAGAAGGCAGAGGCAGCTACAAAGGCCACTGATGACTGACAGATGTTTTAGAAAATGGTGTGACGGGAGGCAAGCCTGGAGGAGCTGTGGAGGACAAGGGAAGCGGACTCAAGTCGGCAAGGACAGCAGGCTCCCAAGAGCAAGGATGGAATGGGACAGTGGTGGGAGGGGAGGGCAGGGAGGCAGTGAGAGGAAGTCTGTTAAAGGTTGTTTTAGGGCACGTTTTTTGGTGTGCTGATGACAGCAATCCAGGAGAGAATGGCTGTAACAATAACCAGAGTCAGAGGATGGCAGGTGTAGTGGGTAAAGTCTTTAAGGCAGAAACAAAGGTAACAGAGTAACAGGGAGAAAGGGCAGATGTGGCGATGGCAGGCAGGCCCACTGAGGGTGGCAGACTCTAATTCTTCTTTTTTTTTTAGGTCTTTTTGAGTCAGGGTTTCCCTGCAGCCCCAGCTGGCCTGGAACTCAATATGTTGGCCTCTGCTTCCCAAGTGCTGGGACTACAGGCGTGCATCACCACGCCCGGCTTAGTTCTTTCTTCTTTTGAGACAGGGTCTCACTGTGTAACCCTGGTGTCCTAGAACTGACTATGTAGACCAGGCTGCCTCAATCTCACAGAGCCCTACCAGCCTCTGTCTCCCAAGGGTTGGGATTGAAGGCGTGTACCATCATGCCTTGCTTTCTTTGTTTTTAAATTTTCTCAATTGAAGAAAATATTTCAGACAACTCTCATATATAAACCAAACAGCAAAGATCACTGGTCTGAAGTAACTGTCTTCTCTGACCCATTCATATACTAGCCCACAGTGCTTTCTTCTAAAGACACGCATCTACTTTGACATGTAATCAGGTCGAAAACCCTAGATAGCTGGTATCTGCTAGTACTGCCTGATCTTGTGCAGAGGTCCTGTCTTTAGAAATACTCCAGTAGTTGTCCACTTCTGTGAAGGTGGTGACCTTCAGACCCTAGTTCAACATGTATAAGATTCACAGTAAGAACATGCGGCAAACAGCAAAGTGTGATGAGAGCTAATCAGGTATCTTTATGCTCTGGCTGAAGGTGAATTTATGGGATGTTAAATCACATACTTTCAAGTTTTACTAACAGGAAGTTGACTACTAAGACATCCCTCTAAGGAGGAACATTCTCAGAGTTTACATGTACTTACCAACAGTGGTCACAGGGGGCTGAGAAGGGTACTGGGAGCTTGTTGTGGCAGGATGTGGACCACCAGGTGGATAAGGACAGCCAGGGTAACCACTATAGAAAAGAAAACATCAAATGTGAACATAACCCAACACACAGTACTATTAAGAACCCCACTGAAGCTGGGCATGGAGGCACCCCACACTCAGAAGGCAGAAGCAGGTATCTGGTCTACATGGTGAGTTCCAGGCCAGCTGGGGCAATAGAGAGGGAGACCCTGTCTCAACCCCTCATTCTCCAAAAAGAACCCCACTGAGAAGCTGAGCTTGGTACATCATGTTACCAGTTAATGAACTTAAAGGTGTTCTTCAAGAAAGAGTCTCTGGAAATTCCAGTAATGACACTGGATTTAAAGTACACTGTTAAGACCAGGCATGGTGGTGTATGCCTATAAACCAGGAAGAGGGCCAAGGCAGGAGACTGCTCCAAGTATGAGGCCAGCCTGGGCTACATAGCAAGACCCTGCCTCAGAACATGTAGAAAAAACAAATAAATTAGCCAGGTGTGATGGTGCATGCCTTTGATTCCAGCACTTGGGAGGCAGAGGCAGGCAGATCTCTGTGAGTTCCACGCCAGCCCGGTCTACATAGCAAGTTCCAGGCCAGCATGGGCTATAGGGAGACCCTGTCTCAAAAAGACAGACAGACAGACAGACAGACAGAAAGCGAGAGAGAAAAATAAATCTACACAACAGAGCCAGATAAGGTAGCTCACACTTGCAATCCCATCTGGGAGGCTGAATTGAGTTTGAGGCCAGTCTGGGCTGTACAGTGAGTAACACCCTATCCTGAAACAAACCAAAATAATTAAATGGTCAAATGTTTGTGCTTGGTCCTGACTATCTGAAGGTCACCTTCACAGAAGCAGAAAATTACTAGACTATTCCTAAAGACAAGACCTCAATAGTAACAGAAACAATAAATCTTTTGTGGGAAAATTGTTCTGTTCTGATTTCCTAGTCTATCAGAGAACGGTAATATTTAACATTATTTTTATTTTATGTGTAAGTAAGTGCACCCATGTCATGCAATGCCCATGGAGGTCAGAAAAGGGCATCAGGCCCCCTTTAACTCGAGTTACAGACAGTTGTTAGCCACCATGTGGGTGCTGGGATTCAAACCCAGGTCCTCGTCAAGAGCAGCGAGTGCTCTTAACAGCTGAGCCATCTCTTTAGCCCCTGGGAAAGATAATATTTAAATTCTGCATGTGGCTTATTGATATCCTTTACAAATATTCAATTTGAAAGTCTTTTAAAAAATTTAAAAGCACTAATGTCTGTGCATGAAATCCAGTGGGGGGGGCTATGGAAGGGTGCAGATAGAGAAAAGGGTCTAAATATGATCAAGATGTATAGTATAAAATGCACAAAAATTCCATTATGAATATATGTGGAAAAAACATTTCTGAACAGTTTGTCTTTCATGTATTCTAATAAATAGTCCTAAATTTGCATTCTGAAAGTTCAAAGTTATTTTTGAAATGTTTGTTTTTATTATTTATTTATTGATTTATTTGGTCTTTTGGAGACGGTCTCCCTGTAGCCCCAGCTGTCCTGAACTCACTACGTAGACCAGGCTGGCCTTGAACTCACAGAGATCCACCTGCCTCTGCCTCCTGAGTGCTGGGATCAAAGGCGTGTGCCACCACGCCCAGCTGTTTGTTTTTATTTTATGTATATGTGTTTCTGTGTGGGTGAATGCCCCATGTGTGCACAAGCCTGTGGAGGCCAGAAGAGGGAGTGAGATCTCACTGACTGAACTCAGGTCCTCTGGAAGAGCAGTAGCACTTAACTGCTGAGCCACTTCTCCAGCCCCGCCTGTCCGCCAGTTCCTTTTTATTACAAATCGCTAAGGATACACACTTGCAATCTCAGGACTTCTAGCACCTGTTTGGGAAGTACAGGGCTTCAAGAATCTAAAACTCATAAGGACCTATCTGACGGCCATAGGAGTCCTCCTCTTCTCTGACAAGGGTCCTTCTAGTCTGTTTACCTATCTAAAATGACAGGCTGCTTCTGCTGGGATGAAGCTGCTCCCTGCAATTACGTAGCAATTTGGATGTGGAAGCGAGGAGAGTTTAAGAAACGCAAACATCGAAGCATTAAGAGTTTATGCAGGTGTGTCCCCATGCCAATTCTAAAATTTGAAGTCCTCTTGCTAGCTTTATACAATCTTCACAGATAAATGCAGCCACATTTCCCGAACACCTATCATACGTAAACAAATGTATTTATATGTATAATATCCAGGATTTTGAAAGATTAATTTAGCAAGCTCTTTACTATTTCTGGACCTCATCTCAAAACAAAAAAACAAATGCCCAAAAATTCAAAGTTGCAGGAACTCTTGTCTAGGCACTGAGATATGCCAGTCTTATGTCCTGAGTTACAAAGCCCACCTCAGGAAAGGCACTCCTAGGATCCCAGCAGGACAAGCCCAAATTGTTCAAACAACTGCTAATTATTTCTCTTTGATTACTGTTCACTTAATTGATCTGTTATTACCAAATGCATAATACTGATAATACATGCTATGAACCAGATTAAAAATATCTGATCTCATGAATGTGAAGCATTAACTGATTCTCTGCAATTTACAGAAATGCTTTTCTCTTCACTAGTATTACATCTAAGGTATTTTTTCCTTTTTAGCTCTTTATTGTAACTAATATTCCATTAACCTTCTATGTACACTGGACAGATCAACTTTTTTTGTCTTTTTGAGACAGGGTCACCCTGTAGCCCCAGCAAGGCCTGGACCTTACAGAGACCTGCCTGCCTCTGCCTCCCAAGTGCTAGGATTAAAAGCATGTGCCACCAAACCTGGCTAATAGGGAAGTAGGGAGGACTTCAAGGTCCTAAACCAATGATGATCACTGCCATTACAAACCCACCTCTTTCTTCTTTGTAAATAAAATGCAGCTGAGTTTCCCTACATAAAGCTCCTTTCACATTACATGCACATACATAAAATCTCACCAATAAGCCTACTATGCCTTTAATTCCGGCACTCAGGAGACTGAAGAAGGGTGCTGAGCCTCCACAGCCAGACTCTATCTCAAAAATAAACACCAATAAACCAATCTTTCATTGAATTTCAACTAAACTTATGTGCCGTTAGCATCACTTTGGTTAATACATAATGGAGTGTTCGTTACCTGGGGTTTGGAGGGTATCCAGGTGGGTACGCAGAGGCTCCACTTGGCATGCCTGGCATGTAGGAGGCTAAAAACAATTTTCAACATTTAAAAATAATATGCACAGTCCTGAATATAAAGGCTTTTGAGTAATATGTACCACTGTCAAACCACAGCAAAACTTCACACAACGAATTCCAATTTCAGCCTCAAAACAAAACAAATATTTGGCCAGTATTTGTTCTTTGCTTTCCAGAGTAAATATTTTGAAGTCACCTAATTCTCAAATCATTACACACAAGTAACACTCGTGAAAATCCCAACAAGAAATAGCTGGCAAACATGTCAACCTGGCCAGCTCTACAAACTCATGTTCACGTGTTATTTAGAAGAAGGCACAGGATGCTGGCCTCAGGGTCATGCTGACTGACGAATGCAGCTGGCTTTGTTGGATTGTCTGAGGCCTAAGACTTCATGTCACTGTGAAAAATCCTGTACAAAACTTACACTCACATTCACCTAGACTAGTTTTTTTATTTATTTATTTTTATTTTATGTGTATGCATGTATTGCCTGCATGTAGGTAAGTGCACCCATGTCATGCAATGCCCTCGGAGGTCAGAAGAGGCTGTCGGATCCCCTGGGACTGGAGTTACGGACAGTTGTTAGCTGCCATGTAGGTGCTGGGATTCGACCCCAGGTCTTCTGCAAGAGCAACCAGTGTTCTTAACCGGTGAGCCATGTCTCCAGCCCCAACTATTTTTTTTTTTTTTTTTTTTTTTTTAAAAGCTTGAAAATACTAGGAAAAAAGTTAAAATCTGGCCAGGCATGGTGGCACATGCCTTTAATCCCAGCACTCAGGAGGCGGAGGCAGGTGGATCTTTGTGAATTTGAGGCCAGCCTTGTTTACAAAGTGAGTTTCAAGTCTGCTGGGGCTACAGGGAGACCCTGCCTCAAACAAAGAAAAAAAACAAAACAAAAAAAAGGTAAAATCTATTACCCTAAAAGAATGCCTTATTCATTCTTTAAAGAGGGCACTAGAGGCATAACCCTCACATGGTTAGTGGTGTCAAGAGTCTAATTTTGGCCTTGACTGGAAAGCCCTCAGAGTCAATTTTCTTCAATTTAATTTTTCTGGCTAGATACAATGGTGAATTGGCACTTTAAGTCAATAAATCAATGTTTTACTGCCTTTTACACACAGGAACTAGGGATCTGACAGAAGAGAGAAGAGGGAGGGTGGGAGGAAGAAGGAATGAGAGAGAGTGAAGAGAAGGAAGGCAGGAGATGGGAAGGAATCCTTGGCCACAAGTTGTTTAGAATCCAGCTGAGGCAATAAGCAAAGACTAGCAGCACATGGTTCTGTTCTCTAAGTGTGTTGACAGAGAAAGCACAGAATGCATTAAAGGATCGTCCAGGAAAGAGAGCTAATCTAAGCTCAGAGGGAGAGTAATCAAAAGTGACCTAGCAGATGAAGCCCAAGGAGAAACAGCGCTCAAAGGATGGACTTCTAAGGCAGAACTCAGCAAGGACAGGCTCCTGGTTCCTATCAAGGAAGTCTCCGAAGCCTTGACCAGGGGAACATTCCAGGGATCACAGCCTTTTCATCAGGAAGAAACAGTGGATGTCATAAATACTCTTCTTATGATGAAGTATGAAGTTCAATATTTCATAAAGGAAAAAAAAACCTTTCAAAATGTTGATCGCTAGATTCCAAACAATGTGTTTCTTTCCAAGCAAGAAGCACAGTTGGTATTTATGAACATCTTTTAGAAAAGACGAGGCCACTACTAAGTATTAGCATCCCCTACAGTCAGTTATCACCCCTTCATGCTAGTTTCTCACTCAAACATACAGATCTCACAATTCTAAGGATTTTCCTTTTCTTAATATCTAGTTACTTTGGCAAAGCTTTCAGGTTTCGACTTTGGTAAATAACAGGTATTACTTAGATCCAAGACAGGTAAGGAAGCAGGTGACACGGTAAACCTGTGTTAGAGCCAGACTAAAATGGGACTCCAACGAACATAACACACAGAGCAACTGTGAGGGCTAAATGACAGTGTTGTATGACAGACTCAGTCACCACAACAAATGAGCATTATTACGCTGTCGAATGAAGCTTGCACAGAATGCTATCTTTTTTAAACCCAAGGACTCCCTGGCCCTGAACACCTAGGCTCATGAAATCTTTTTTCTCTCATGAAACAGGGTCTCACTATGTAGCCCTGGTTGGCCTGGAACTCACTATATAGAGCAGGCTGGCCTAGAGCTTACAAGAGATTCACCAGCTCTGACCCCAGCTCTGAGTGCTGGGATTAAAGGCATGTGCACCAATCTTCTAGCCTAAACCTCCCAAGTCTTTGGAACTACAGGCATGCACTATCACACCTGGCTCTAACACTGTCTTTTAACATGCCCTGGCTCAAAAGTCATCCTAAAGGAGATAAAAATGTTCTCAGCAATGACAGTAAGTATTTAATTTCTTAACTATTAGTTATGAAAATGTATCCAAGTTTCTTGGCTATTCCTTAGTATGTGTGTGGGAGGAATTCAGGCTTATTTTCTCCTCTATAGTCTTATCTGATAATGATGTATTATACCCTAATATGTGAAATGTATCAAAACAGAAATGGATACAGCAGATTGGTCTCTTTTAGTGATTTACTTCAATTAGCTCTGGAGTGTTTCATGAGACACAAGTAGACTGCAGTCCACAAAACTGGACTGCAATTGTGACCACAGTATAATCTTTTTCTAGAAGAATGTCAATGTGAAACTCAAAAGAAATACAGAAAAATATGGTTCAGGAGTCTATCTAAATTTCTTTTGTCTAAAGTAGTAACTAGTTATCTGAGCAGGCAGATGAGAGGACCAGAGCAGGAGATACTTGGTACTTTAAACTCAAACACTTAGTTAACAGGATTAGTAAGATGAAAACAAATTTTTGTGTCAAAAGAATCACTCATAATCTGTCTGTTTTTGCTTTTTGAGATGAGCCTCCCAGTAGCCCCAGCTAACTTAGAACTCACTATGTAGACCTGGCTGGCCTGCAACTCAAGAGATCCACCTGCCTCTGCCTCCCAAGTGCTAGGATTAAAGGTGTGTGCTACCCCACCTGGCATTTCATAGTCTCAATAAAGAAGTGTAACTGTAAAACCAAACTTATTCTGGGAAAGTAGGGAAAGGAAATGGGTTGGAAGTTAGTCCTGTTATATTCCTATTCTGCCCATAGATCAAAGTGTTCTTCAAGAAAGGATGGATTAGGAACAAGAGAATGGGGGCTGGAGAGATGGCTCTGTGGTTAAGAGCACTGGCTGTTCTTGCAGAAGACCAGGGTTCGATTCTCAACACCCACATGGCAGCTAACAACTGTCCCGAAATTCCAGTTCCAGGGGTTCCAACATCTTCTATCCTCCTTGGGCACTGCACAAAATGGGTGCACTTATATACATGCAGGCATAACACTTGTATACATAAAGTAATAATAAATTAAAAACAAAAACAAAAGAATAAGACAATGAACCAGGCATGGTGGCATATACTTTTAATTCCAGTACTCAGGAGGCAGAAGCAGGCAGATCTCTGTGAGTTCCAGGCCAGTCTGATCTACAAAGTGAGTTCCAGGCCAGCCAGGGTTACACAGTGAGACTGGTCTCAAAATAACAAAGCCACAGAACACAAGAAAGATTTTCAGTAAAAGGGTAAGCTCACATAATTTGTCTTTAGATTTAAGTTTGACTAATTATGTCCATAAATAAAATTACAAAAGAGAAACTTAAAACACAATAAAATCAATACCAAACAAAAAAGTCAAAAGTACAACCAACTCAATTATCCAGGATGATTTTAAAGTACTGGTAAGAATTACTTAGATAAACAGGTAATAGGGGTGTGTCTACCAATTAGGGAGAACTGGTGGTATCTCCACGCTCTCACCCTTCCACATGTCATGAATTGGCTGTACTAAAGAGAAGCGGCTGAGAGCTCCATGTTCAATTGTGTATGCCAGGGCAGCTGAAGATAGTACCTAGCTGATTTTATAGAAACTCTAGAACACTGATCCTGGAGTTGCAGGGAGAGCTCAGGCTACCTTTCAAGTTACATCCTTCCAAAATGGTGAAATACAGCTATCCCATGGCATGCATAATTCAAAACTTCTAGCTCTGTTCCAGCATCTTCTCCACTTTGGAATCCAGCACATCCATGCTTAGATTTCTACCCACAAATGGGAGCCCAAATACCAGTCTTTGGTAGGAATCTGTATGTGTAGATGTGGGACCTCAGAATATCTCCAAAAACTCCACTAATTTGACAAGCTAAAAAGCAAAATGAAGTTAATCTTAAAAGACTTTTTACAAAGCTTTGTTTTATTTATGGAACTTCTGAATCAGATCTCACTTGTACTTACTATTTGGAGGCCCTGTTGCCGAATATGGAGGATAGGATGCAGAAATAGTGGGACGGGAAAATACTGGAGGTTCTTCTCCAAACACCACAATCATGACCTGAATAAGCTCCAGTAAGTCTGACTGTGGCTGAAAAGGGAGAAAAGAAAGAAGTCGTGCTAGCTATAGTTATTTTCAGCAACACAGAAAAGTTTGTCCATGTCCCGTCAGTTTTCAATTCAGTATGACAATGTCCTTCACTCTCTCTTAACTTTTCTTTTTGGTCTTTTTGAGACAGGGTCTCCCTGTACCTCTAGGCTGTCCTGGAACTCACTATGTAGACCAGGTTGGCCTTCAACTCACAGAGATCTGCCTGCCTCTGCCTCCTGAGTGCTGGGATTAAAGGCATGCACCACCACACCCAGCTTCTCTTGACTTTTTATTAAAGATCATTAGTGATCATCATCGTCTTTATGCATGTGCGCATATGCCATGGTGTGCTTGCGGCAGTCGAAGACAACTCTGGAGTTGGTTCTCTCCTTCTGTCTTTACATGGGTTCCAGGAATCAAACTCAAGATGCCAGGCTTGTGTGGCCCGTGCTTTTATCTATTAAGGCATCGTGCTGCCCCATGTTTTCTCGAACACAAGCATTTTCAAATCTGTCTAACAGAGTTACATGGGAGTAAGGCAACGCCTTGTTTCTGTTATCTTTTCTACCCTCAGCTGTCTGCGGTGTAGCTGATACTCTAACTGCATGCTGCACATCATCTGTGGAAAAATGACAGAGCAGTTGACATATTCTTCCAGCAAGAGCTCATTCAGTGAGGGGCACTCCACTAAAACCAAGACTGAGCTAGCTCAAGGATGGGTTATTATTATTTTTTAAAATATTTTTATGTGTATGTGTGTATTGCCTGCATGTAGGTAAGTGTACCTGTGTCATGCAAAGCCCACAGAGGTCAGAAGAGGCTGTTGGATCCCCTGGGACTAGAGTTACAGACAGTTGTTAGCTTCCATGTGGGTGCTGGGATTCGAACCCAGGTCTTCTGCAAGAACCACCAGTGTTCTTAACTGCTGAGCCATCTCTCCAGGCCCAGGGATGGATTTTTAAAGGCTCATTTTATCTCTGAGTTTCCCCTCTCAAGACAAATGTGATGGCTAATTTTGGCTGTCAATTTGATTGGATCTGTGATCAACTCTGGGCAAACCTCTGGGCAGGTGTGTGGGAGTATCTCCTGGAAGGCTTGAGTGAGGGGAAGGCCCCTCTCAGAGGGGGCAGCACCTCCCCAGGGCACCCCGCGAAGATGTCTGAGGGAAAAGCAGTGCGGCTCCTGCCTGCCCATCTGTGTTCCCTGGCGCTGAGCGCATTTCCCTCTCTGCTGTCGTCCTGCTCTGACACTGGAACACAACTTCTCTGGCTTTCTAATGTGGACTGAAGGCCAGTGGCTCTCCATGAATCCTCCAGGCCTTTAGTACCAAACTGGGAGTACTGAGGCAGAGCCTCGTGAACAGAGCAGCCATGTGGCTCTCAGCCTGTCTAGTGTAGCCGGCCACTGCTGAGCCCCAGCCCACCATACAAACCAAGCTAACAAATATTTGTAACCACGTTCCTTCTATTGGTTCTGTTCCTCTAGAGAACCCTAACATAGGCCTTTCTAGCTAAACTTGGTACAAGTGCTGGTCTACTAATCACACCATCAAAGGCAGAAACACCAAGTGCCCAACTATTACCCTTCAGAAGAATGCTCTGAAGATATCTGAGTCCACAAATATATCCCGTCAGTGTATCAATCTTCAAATGACCCCTATTTTCTGCGTATGCGTGGGGGGGCAGTATGTGTGTGCGCACATGAATTTACATGTGTGTGGATATAGTGCCCAGAGGGTTGATGAGAGTATCTCTAATTGCTCCCCAACTACTTTCTGAGGCACTGTTGCTCACTGACAAGCTGATCAATTGAGCTCCAGGGACTCCTGTCTCTGCACCCCACTCCCCAGAGCTGGGGTTATAATCCAATGCGTGCTGTCAGGTGTGGCTTTTAAATGGGTCCTGGGGATCTCAACTCAGGGCCTCATACTTAACACAGCAGGTGCTTTACAAAGCCATTTCCACAGCCCCTGTACCCCGTCTATTTTTAAACGTTCAATTCAAGTAAATAAAACGGTGAATAAGTATTATAATCTATAATGCTATATATAAATGTTTCTTTTAGAGAACCTTTCCAACTAGTTAGTATTACAACTCATGTCTATAACCATAGTACTTGGATAAATGAGGTAGGAGGGATCTTGATGAGTCTGAGGCCAACCTGAGCTCCATGCTGAGTTCTAAACTAGCCTGGGCTATATAGAAACCTTGTCTCAACAAAACCAAAGGAATGAAAAAAGAGAGCCTCTCCTTATCACCTCAGTTCAGTGTCTAGTCTATTACCTGAACTTATCTACTGTCCTTAGAATCCCCAAGTGTAAAATGAAATCGGATGATAGTGAGCAAAATACGATCACTTCACAGAACCCTGTTAATACTTACATGTTTCCATTCATGTAGATAAGGAAGGTAGATTTTCCCATTTGCATCCACATGCTTTCCTGTTTTAATAGTCATTGAACTAGTAGGCTTAACAAAACAAATAGGGGGATTATATGGGTATGTGTCCAGCAGCCATAGGCATATTGGAATATTATACGTATTACCTGAGAGAGAAAAAGAAACTTCAGTTACTTTATAAAATTATTTTCCAACACCATACTAGGTAAGGAAGAAAAAGCAATTCACCCCGTCTCCCAAAACACCACTATTTTTTTTCTAAGTTCTGTTTAAAGATGCTTCTCAAGTTTTTAGTTGGTGAGATAAACAGCAAGGTGAAAGCATCAAGTGCCTGCTGTTGGAGAATACGCTCACAGATTAGCTCTTTGGCCCAACCCACTCTGCTACTTGACTCATCACTCCACTTCAAAAGCTTCACCAGGCAGAGGCAGGTGGATCTTTGTGAGTTCGAGGCCAGCCTGGTCTACACAGCGAGTTCCGGGACAGCTAGGGCTACAGGGAGACCCTGTCTCAAAAAGACAAAAAAAAAAACTTCACCAGGAACGGAATCAGAAAGAAGAGCACTGACAGAGTTGCAGCATCAAGAAGTATAATAGACTTAAAAGTCCCTTCCAGAAACCAGGCTATAAAACAGACGCCTAGCTGGTGTCCAGTCTGACCAATGTGTACGGCACTGTCAGAGCAGTTATTCAGAATCAATGTTATCTTCTCATATTTGCTTTATCAAATGGCATCTCAGTTGAGAAATTTGACTATTTGTAGTCAAACTGAAAGATCTCAAAAGAGCCCAACAGTTACTACATTAAACACAAATCACAGTCTTTCTTACTATTCTCAAAGCCCAGTGTCCCAAGCAACCATTTGAATCACATCACATAACGTACAAGCATTCCCCCCACAATGTTTCAGCACATACAAGGGTGTAAGCATAAGTTTCACCAAAAGAAGTGAGACCCTTACAGAACTTTTTAAAGTTCCAAACACATCTACAATGTACAGCATTAGATACAGAAAACCTTCAGCTTACCACTACCACCCAGGACTCTGAGAATGAAGAACCCTCAGAACAACTTGTACACGATGACACACGAAGGCCAAGGAACAGACCAGGTTCACTTTAGCGCACACATGCCCATAACCGACTTCTCTGACTAGAACTTCTTTCATGAGGGCAATGGCAGTTAGCAACAGTGAATTTCACTTAGCCCTTGGTTAGCTTATTATGTATGTTCAATTAAGTGTTTTCCTCCCAGGACTAGTCAGCTACAAAGACTGGTTTATCTTTAGTAGAAAGTTCTCTTGTCCTTATCTCTGTGACCTTCCTATGTGACTTTACCCTCCTTTGCAACCTCACAGGACCTTCACACTTAATCATACCACAGCAATTACAGCACTGCTGTGATTTAAGTGTATAACATCCCCTACAAGTTCACGTTTTGAATGCTTGTTCCCAGACGATGGCACTATTTTGGGAGGCTGTACAACCTTACAGGGTGGGGCCTAGGTTATAGAAGTAGGTCCCTAGAAGAGCCTTTGAAGGTTCTGACTACTGGTCAAGCTGCTTTCTCTGGAAACAGATGCTTTAGCTAGTCATGAGGGAATAATTAACAAACACAGCTGTCCAAAACCAGAATAGTCTCTTATAAACCTAAATGCTCCCTTCTAGTTAAGTACTCAGCAGAGGGGAGCTGACTGGTAAACAGAGACTAGTTAACCAAACCTAGCATTTTTACCAACTGACAACCATAAATAACAGGTGCTTTTTATTGTCTGCTTAGAACAAAGCAGTTTACATGCTTAGCCTTTACATGCAGTGTCTCCATGAATCATTAGCATCCCAGTTAGGTACTACTGCCCAACGCTCTAGATGTTCATGCTCACAAAACTCAAGATTACACAGTGGGAACACAAACCTAATTCTGTCCTGACTTTAAAGCTCTACTTACCAGTACACAGTACAGCATCCCATAGTCAAAGTCTAGACGGTATAAGAGGCTGAACTAGTGGGCACTTAGGCACCCACTACAGTTCTACAACTGTGAAACATTACACTCCTTCTGTATACTCAGGCATGTGTGCTGATACAACCTGGCAAGGAAGTTTTTTGAAAACTGAAAATGTAAGGTGCTGTTGCTGAAAAAAGCTAAATCAGAACTGAAGTTACAATCTCTGCATCATCATGAAAGCTACAGAAAGTATGTTCCATTTACTTCTCTTTGGCAACACAGTCTTGTCAGCAAATGCACCTATCATGGAAGCATAAAAGTGCTCTTTACCTCTATAATGCACAGGAATCGTCCCAGTGAGGTTCATCAGTTCCCTGGAGCTGCCATCATTAAAAACTGAAAGGAGTAAAACCAAGATTTAATCAGGAACACTTTTCCTAGGTATTCTTATGCAAGTTACTTCTTCAGAAACACTGGTTAAATTCATCATTATCTATGAAAGGGGCTAACTTGTTAAATGTATAATCCTTTCTGCCCAAAAACAAAGAATTCTTTGTTGATTCATTCAGTTTAAAATGGATTTGAGAACCTCATTGCCAATAAATAGTTTTTGGTCTCCCTATCAATGTGATTCTGCCTATCACTTCTCAGCTGTGCGTAGTGGTGTACGCCTTTAATCCCAGCACTCAGGAGGCAGAGGCAGGTGGATCTCTGTGAGTTCGAGGCCAGCTTGGTCTACATAGTGAGTTCCAGGACAGCTGGGGTTACAGGGAGACCCTGTCTCAAAAAGACCAAAAAATAAAATAAAATCACTTCTGAGTTGGGTGTGGTAGTGCATTTTTTTTCTTTTCTTTTTTTGTCTTTTTGAGACAGGGTCTCCCTGTAGCCCCAGCTGTCCTGGAACTCACTATGTAGACCAGGCTAGCCTCCAACTCACAGAGATCCACCTGCCTCTGCCTCCTGAGTGCTGGGATTAAAGGCACGCGCCACCATGCCTGGCACAGTATACGTTTTTTTAATCTCAGCACTCAGGTGGATGCCTGTGAGATCAAGGTCAACCTGGTCTACACAGTGAATTCCCACAGGGAGACCCTGTCTCAAAAAACACCAACCAACCAACCAACCAACCAACCAACCAACCAACCAACCAACCAAAGCTTCTTTGGGATTGGAGAGGTGGCAGAACAGTTAAGAGCACTTACTACTCTTGCAGAAGACCTGGGTTTGGTTCCCAGCACTCACATGGTGACTAATACCTGTCCTTAACTTCAGCTCCAGGGAATCTACCGCCCTCTTCTGGCCTCTCTGAGCACCAGGCACACATGTAGTACACTTATAAACATACTAGCAAAACACTCATACACATAGAATTAAAAGAAAAAACATTTTTTTAAGTCACTATCAAGTCACTGAAACTGTGGCCATTCATTGTGCTTGAATTATACCCCCAATAAAGTTATTTTTAACAAACCTAAGAAATAAATCGGTAAATAAAATAAAAATCACTATCAAGGCTGGAAGTGTAGATCAGGAGCACAGCAATTGTTTAGCATCCTCAAGGCACTGCGTTTCATGCCTAGTGCCACAAAAAAAAGAAAAAAAGGCACTGCCAAATGACACCACACTAAATGTTAACCTCCTGTCATTACATTTTAGAAATTCACACTCACTGGGGCCTGGGGATATGGCTAAGTTGGTGGAGTACATGCCTAGCATGCTTGAAGCCCTGGGTTTGGTGACCAGCACTGCGTAAACTGGGTATGGTAGTGTACATGCTTATGACTCCAGCACTTGGGAGGTAGAAAGGAGAATCCTCAACTACTCAGAAATCCCTACTCATTGTCATTCTAATCCCAAGGTAACATCAAAATTACAATAGTGCAGATTAAGTCTGAACAGTTAATTAAATAGACATTTTCTTTCAACATGTTATTTCTTGTACCAATGTCTTTTCTTTCATTGATAAATCAGAGCATATAATTTGTGTTAGAGGACTGCTTTACCTGTAACAATGATTGAAAGGAACACTGTATCACATAGGGCAAAGGCTGTGCTACAGACTAAGTATGCAATGTCCTGCAAAGGCTCTTGTGTGAATGTTTTGGTTGCTAGCTGATGGACCAGGAGAACTCTAGCTCAGCAGAGGATGAACTTACTAAAGAGTTCATGAAGTGATGGCATTACTGGGGCGGATGTGGATCTTACCCCAACACTCCCCCTTCCCTCCCTCGCTCTGCTTCCTTGCTTTATGAAGTGAGCTTTCCTCTGCCACAAAGTCCTACCTCATCATAGGGCCAAAGTGAGGGAGTCAAGATATCAAGAACCAAAACCTCTGAAACAAACCACGGCAAGTCTTTCCTCCTTCAAGCTGACTTTCTCTGACTCTCCATCACAGTGATACAAAGTGAACACAAGCTGTCATGAGCAGGACAAGCACTGCTGACACCAGTCTGCTGCTAACTGCAAACCATGTGGCCACTGATTCTAATCTTGTACATTTTAGTTAAACACTGTTCTAGGAACAGTAACGCATGTGTGTAACCCCAGTACTTGAGGGGAGGCTGAGGCAGAGGGTTGCCATAAATTCGAGGATAGGAGGATAGCCTAGGACACCTGAGGCTAGAGTGAGACTATTAAAATCAAACAAATTACACAATAGTAGCCATAAAGTTGAAACACTGTATTTAAATTTGGGGGGTTGTTTAAAAGCAACAACAGTTTAGATTTTTTTTGGTCTTTTTGAGACAAGAGTCTTCCTATAGCTCTAGCTGGCCTGGAACTCACTATGTAGACCAGGCTGGCCTCAAACTCACAGAGATCTGCCTCCCAAGTGCTGGGATTAAAGGTGTGCACCACCATGCCCAGCAATAGTTTAGATTTTTTTGCCCCCCCGCCCCCAGCTGAGGATTGAACCCAGGGCCTTTAGCTAAATCCCCAACCCCAATAGTTTATATTAATTTTTTTATTATTTTTATTTTGTATGTATGAGTGTATTGCCTGCATGTGTGAAACCGCACCTGTTTCTTGTAATATCAAAGGAGGTCAGAAGATGGTGTCGAATCCCCTGGAACTGGAATTACGGATGTGTGTTAGCCACCATGTGTATCCTGGGAATCGAAGCTGGGTCCTCTGCAAGAGCACTCAGTGCTCTTAACTGCTGAGCCATCTCTCCAGTCCCACAACAGATTTCTTAGTCCATATAAAGCCATAGAAAACTTGTGTGATGATGCTGCAATCTGTTAGTTTTGATCAACCTTTACTGTTTTAGCATGAGTAAACACTACACTTCAAAGTTCCAGCCTCACCACTGAAGCCATTTTGAAACTAATTTTGGTAACATGAGGGGTGTTACTGGTGAAAACACAGTATGTGACAGAAACACAGTGCCTGAGATGAACTGAAGCTGAAGGCTTCTAGCTCGTGCCTCTGTGGTTTAGAGGGTGCAAAACCCACCACCCCTGCTGCCCCTCTCTTTACAGGACCTACTATTTTCAAAGCCCTGGGCCAGGTGGCGTTTAGAAAGTTCTAGTGACAAGGTCCAGTATGTTGTCTTTACCAAGGGTCTCACAGTGGACAGGGGGCAACACAGGTTCTTTTTTGGCCCGGGCACACTTAGTGTTTTCAAGGCAGGTTTGAACAGACTAAGGACTCAGAAAAGACTGCCGTGTTTGTTTTTTTTTTAATATATTTTTATTTTATGTGTATGCATGTATTGCCTGCATGTACGTAAGTGCGCCTGTGTCATGCAATGTCCGAGAAAGACAGAAGAGGCTGTTGGATCCCCTGAAACTAGAGTTAGGGACAGTTGTTAGCTGCCATGTGGGTGCTGGGATTTGAACCAGGGTCTTCTGCAAGAACAACCTTAAATCTAGATGCCATTTCTTAAATTACAAGTTTATTTTGTCTCAGAATAAAGACAAATTGCTACCTATCTACTCAACAAAATTAAAAACCTTTATTAAAAAATGCTTTCATTTATAAAACACAAGAAACAGCCTCCAAGAGTCTTGCAAAATATGTTTCTGAAAATATAGAGAAGCTATAGGGGAAAGAGAGGGTGCTAAGTAGCTCAGTATGTATGTGCAGTGTATTTTCTCTCTGCTTCATGAGACTACACATTAGCATACTAAAGGCTCTAAGAAATCTTGCTGCAATGAAACAGGTTTTGGTTTGTCTTAAAGAGATGGAGGGAAGGGAGGGAGAAAGGGGGAGGGGGCAGAGAGGAGAGGGGGCAGGGGGGAAAGGGAGAGGGAGAGAGAAGGAGAGGAAGCTGACTCACTATATCACCCTAGATTCTTAGGTGCAAGTGCTTTTTCTGCCTCAAGACTACAGGTTCACGCCACCACCACACCCACTTAAATTTGTTTAATCTGTGACCATTCAAACTTAACCACTGAATTCTGCCATTAATCTACTCAACTGCCCTTAGCAGTGTTCTTCACAACTTTGATAAGTGGGCTGGTGAGATGGCTCAGTACGTAAGGGCACTTGCTGTGGAAACTGATGACCTGAATTTGATCCCCAGAACTCACAGGGTTAAAGATGAGAACTGACTGCTGTAACCTGTTCCCCAACTGCCACCTTACACTGTGGCATAGGCATACAATACACATTTTGGAGAAAAAAACTTTGGAAAATGTAAACAATCTTTAAAATTTCTTCCTATGGCACTTGGGAGGCAGAGGCAGTCAATCTCTGTGAGTTGAGGCCAGCCTGGTCTACAAGGCAAGCTTCAGGTCAGCCAGGGCTTCAGAGTGAGGTAAGTATCTCAACAGAACAAAACAAAACAACAGAAGCCAACTATAGTCATCAATGAGAGGAGCAAACTTCAATACAGTCATGGATGTTTTCATTTCATAAACTTACCATAGGAATCCAGTACAGGCTTGAGATCTTTGTACAGAGTAATAACATTGACAGTTTCACGTACAGTTAGGTCTCTGTATTTGTACTGAAAAGCAAAAATCAGAGTTCAGTTATAGCCAGTGTTCATCATTATACTGCTAGATTTTCTGTCAATTTCATTATTTTTATGTGTATGAGTGTTTCCTACATGTATGTAAGCACTAAGATGAGTGCAAACCCATGAAGGCCAGAAGAGGATCCCCTGAAATTGGAATTACATGTGGTTCGTAGCCACCATGTGGGTTATGGGAACTGAACCCATGTCTTCTACAAGCACAGCCAATGCTCTTTAACTGCTGAGCCATCTCTCCAGCCCTTAGAGCTTAAAAAAAAAAAACCTCATTTTCTTTGTCTTGTTCTTACAAATATGACTTTTCACCAGTCACTCACATTAATGCTCAAAGGGGCCGCAGGCTCTCATTTCTCTACCCCTCCATTTGAACCCGTAGAGATGCTGTGTACTCATTTAACTCTTTTATCCAATTTAAAAGGCCCCGTCAAATAAAAAAAGTCTTTTAGAGATGGGGTCTCTCCTGGCCCAAGTGGGTTCAAACCAGTGATCTTTCTGCTTCAGGCCCCAAGAAGCTAGGGAACTACAGGCACTCGAAGACCTTCGCGGCGGCGTTCTGACAAATCCTTTCCATATTTCCTCCGTTGTCCAGCTGCAGCACTTGTTAACATCAATTATTCTGCAATAAATCATTTGCTGTGCTGTGTTTTCACCCCACCACGCTCTACTCTACCCAGAACCAGCAACTTGGTTTAGCCACATGTGGCATGAGCCAAGGAGACTAGGGACTCAATCTGATCATAATACACTGAAGCTCACAATTTGACAAACTCCCTATCCATGAACACAAGTTCTTAAATTAGCTTTTCTTAAAAAGCAGTCAGCTTTTGTAGCTGAGTGGCTCAGTGGTACAGCAATCACCTAGCACACACGAGGTCCTGGGTTCAATTTCTAGTTAAAAAAAAAAGCAGTTACTCCAACAGAGACCTCAATAAACAAGACGGCAAGACAGAAAAGTATCAGCACTCACTCCTTTTCAATGCTGAAAAATACCGATTACACGGACAGACCAATTTTATTTATGTGTATGAGTGTATTGCCTGCATGTGTGTTAAGTGCAACTGGGTCATGCACTGCCCTCAGAGGTCAGAAGAGGGCCTTGGATCCCTTGGAATTGGAGTAACGAAGGTTGTTAGCCATCATGTAGGTGCTGGGAACTGAACCCAGGTCCTCTCCAAGAACAGCTAGTGCTCTTAACTGTTGGGCCAGCTCACCAACCCTTCATTTCTAATTTTAACTCCTTGTTACTTATTTGTTGAAATTTTGTTCACTTTTCCTACAGAAGGTTCCATGACTGAGCTGGCTAATCAATGCATTCCCTCAGTGCTTTTCGTACACCTTCCTTGGAGTTAGTTTTCGGATCTAAAAGTGATGGCCTTCTTCAAGACTCTTGTATTCTCTTCTCTTCTCACTCTTTTCCCTTCCTTAAGAAGCTCATTTCAGAGACGAACATCTCTTCATCAGGTAGGGAACACATATCTCGGTATTCCTGTGATGTCAGCAAACAGTGATGTTTAATGTCAAACTATTTTCTTCAAACCTACTCCAATTTTGGACATTTTCTAACTGTGGAGACCTTGGGACATGCTCAGGTTTGGATCTGTTTTGAAGGCAGAGCTCACAGGATTTTCTGACTTATCTGCTTGTTCATGTGATGGAAAAGGAGGTAACAAGAATGTCTTCTAGGACTCTGGCCTCCTCAGCAGGAAGGGTGCATATGTATTCTGCACCTAGCCTGCACCCACTGTCCATCAAAGTCACTGAAACCTGCTGTATTGTGTGCTGTGCCCAATTCTATCTTCATCTTACTTAGCAGTGGTGTCTGACCAGGCTGCTGTTTCCCTCTTAAAACTTACTGGGCTGGTGAGATGGCTCAGCAGGTAAAGGCCGGATAACCTGAGGCTGATCCCTGAAACCCACATGATGGAAAGAGAGAACCAACTCCTACAAGTTTGTACTCTGACCTCCACACACTCATGTGGCACATGCATGTGTATACACACACACACACACCCACACCCACACCACACACAGAGAGAGAGGCACACAAAGATGAGTGGATAAACATAATTAAAGATTAAAAGAGCAAATATCACCATTCTTGACTCGCAGTCTGAAGTCTCGAAGCTTGCCTCCCTTCTCAGCGTTTCTACCATTCATTCTCTTTCCCTAATCAATGCTTACTGAGCCCCAGGACCCACACCTTCACATTCCTTGTCTAAGACCTCACTCCTCTTGTAGTCTCCCTTGTATTTTTACATATGCTGAAGCTCCCACACTAAAAATGTCAATCTCAGGTGCGATGGCTCAGTAGGTAAAGGGGTTTGCTGCCAAGCTTAATGGCCACAGTTTGATCCATGAACATTTCATGGTAGGAGAGAACTGATTCCAATGGGTTGTCCTCTGACCTTCACATGCTTGCCTTGGCATGCACACAACCCACACAAATAACCAGGTATTTAAAAAAAAAAAACCCTTCCAGGGACTAGAGAGATGGCTCAGTGGGTAAGAGCACTGGCTGCCTTTGCAGAGGACCCAGGTTCAGTTCCCAGCATCCATATGTCAGGTAACAACCATCCTTAACTCCAGTTCCAGGGGATCCTATACATAAAGTAAAAATAAATCAGTTAATTAAAAAAAGAAAAAACAAGGCCGGGTGGGCGTGGTGGCACACGCCTTTTATCCTAGCACTCAGGAGGCAGAGGCAGGCACTCTCTTGATCTCCATAACGAATTCAGGCCAGCTGAGGCTACAGGGAGACCCCATCTCAAAAAAGACCAGAAAAAAGAAAAAAGGCAAAGAACCCTGCTTCCAAGGCTGGGCGTGGTGGGAGCGCAGGTCTTTAGTCCCAGCACTCAGGCAGTAGAGGCAGGCACATCTCTGTGAGTTCAAGACCGGCCTGGTCTCCATAGGAAGTTCCAGGCCAGCTTAGACTACAGGAGAGCCTATCTCAAAAAGACCACCCCCTCACCCCAAAACAACAAAACCCTTCTAATCTGAACTACTTCCATAAACTCCAGAAATATATAGTCCTTTGCTTTCTGTAGTTTTAATGACCTATGGCCAACCAGAATCCAAAAATAATGGAAAATTCTAGAAATAATAAATTTTAAACTGCATTTCTTTTTTTAAAAAACATTTTATTTTTGGGGGATAGAGAGATGGCTCAGCGGTTAAGAACACTGGTTGTTCTTGCAGAAGACCCGGGTTCAAATCCTAGCACCCACATGGCAGATAAGAACTGTCCATAACTCCAGTCCCAGGGGAGCCGAAAGCCTCTTCTGACTTCCGTGGGCACTGCACAACACGGGTGCACTTACCTCCATGCAGGCATAAACGTACACACATAGAATAAAAATAAAAAAATTAAAAAAATAAAAATATTTTATTATTTTTAGTGTATGAGTATATTGCCTGCATGTTAGGTAAGTGCACCTGTGTCATGAAATGCCCAAAGAGGACAGAAGAGGCCGTCGAGTCCCCTGGAACTGGAGTTACAGACAGTTGTTAGCTGCCATATGGGTGCTGGGACTTGAACCCAGGTCTTCTGCAAGAATAACCAGTATTCTTAACCACTGAGCCATCTCTCCAGCCCTTAAGCTGCATTTCTAAGTAGCATGACATCATGATGAAATTTCAGGCTGTGCCACTGTTCTACCCAGGAAGTTGAGTCACACCTTTAGCATACCCATACTGCAGAGCTACCCCACCCATTAGGGACTTACAAGCCTAAGATCCGCTTTCCAGTACTTGTGTTCAAAGAACTTATTTTACTTCATAACAGCCCCAAAGTCCAAGAGTGGCGGTGCCATAAATATAATCAGTGCAGACTGTTCTACTTTGCTAAGTGCATTGTTAATCTTACTGTGCCTAGCTTGTAAGTGAACCTTCATCACAGGAAGGCATGCCAGGAAAAAGCACAGTTCACACAGGTTCTTTGCTACCCATTTGTCTTGGATGCACCCCCCCTCCATGGATGAGGAGAAGGAACAGCGCACCAACTGCCATCTGACAGCTGCACTTGGCTATCTAATGAATGTTAAACTGATGATGAACAAAACTGAACTCCTTATGAACTCCAATCTTATTCTTCCCACATCTACACTCTCGAGGCTATTCAGGTCCCAAACCTTAAAAGTTATCTTGAGCCTCTCTTTCAATGTGGTCATAGCAAATCCTGCTAAGCTTTGCCTTCAATATACATCCAGAATCTGAACACACCTATCTCCATAGCTACAAGCATGCTCTAAGATGATAGCGTTTCTCATGCTATTTGATTTTTAGCAGCCCCATTCACAGGTGTCTTCCACTTCCCCTCTTGCCCCTTGTTTAGTTTCAACATAGCATCCAGAGCTGCCCAGTTAAAATTTACATCAGTTGAGCCAGGCATGGTGCCTTTAATCCCAGCACTAGGGAGGTAGAGGGAAGTGGATGGCCAAGAGTTCGAGGCCAGCCAGGACTACAAAGCAAGACCCTGTCTCAAACAAATGAAACTTACATCAACTGCTTCTCATCATAATCCATCCAAATGCCAAACCCTGACACTGGCCTGCATGTCCTCCAGAGGCCTCCATCACTGACACTCGACATCCAATACTACTATACTACTACCTCCTTCCATGGTGTCCTGGGTGCAGCCACGCTACCCTGTTATTCCTCTATATCATATGATAAACTTCTGCCCCAAGCCTCTACAACTTTTTTCCTAGAACGTTCTGGCCCCAGAGTCTTACCTCATTCAGGTTTGCACTCGTACAGCGTGTCTCACGAAGGCCTTCCTTCACTATCTGATATGAAACCACAACCCTTCCCATCTTCACCACCAGTAACTGGGTCTTTACTGCTTTATTTTTGTCAAAAGCTTAGTTATCAACTTCCCAACATATATAATGTGCTTCTGACATTATTTACTGGTTTCTATGTGGTGTAAATTCCAATGTCTAGGGCTCTTTGGATGGCTGTTCATACTGTTGTATTCTTACAATCTAGGGTAGAGCAGCAATCTATAATACAATTACTTTCTTGTATAATCTATCATGCAACTGCTTTCTTCTATAGTACAACCTGTACAATCTACGATACCACTATAATCTATCATGCAGCTACTTCTATAATACAACCTATACACTCTATAATACAACCACATTCTTCTATAATCAAGCAACTACTCTTGCAGTAGCGACTCATCCCCAAGGAAAGCTGTAGCTACAATAGGAAAACAGAGGGCTGCCTGAATAAACAAACTGGGTAAATCTGGGTAAAGCAAGACGGACTAACAGCACAGACAAACCTCTTAACAACGACAACGAGGATGGAAAGCCTATGTTTACATTGTCAGCTAAGATAATGCACACAGGAGACAAGTGATCAGTAATAATATTAACACCTACAGTCCCCGCAGGTGCCCAGAACATCCGGATGAGGATGGAGAGTCCATGATGGGATGAAGCAAGTTTAATGGGCTATGGCAGGTTCCTGTAAAAGCTTAAGTGGGGCTTTAAAAATACAAACGATGCGAACATAGACCTGTGCCACTATCTATGGGTTCCCTCAATCATTAAGGATAAGTGGGAGGTGGGGTGGGGCGGGGCGGGGCTCAAGAAACCTAAAAGACAAACAAGAGATAGAAGTTTGTTCTGCAAGGATGATGGGGATGATTTTACTGGAAAATGTCTATTTTTAAAAAAGTTTTACATGTTTTACGGTAAGCTGAAAACCTCTTGAGCCGGTGATTTGACGAAAGTGTCAAAGCTAAGTCACTGAACTAAAGAGTTGTCTCAACCATATTACAACTACATTTGTCAAATTAATATATGTATATTATATATGTTCATTTTGGTGTCAGGTGCCCCGTGTAAATCACAAAATTAAGACTACATTAAAATGCAATATGCCTAAACATTTTTAATAAAAAAACAAAAAAAACCACCACCCCAGTGGCGCTGTGAGAGTTCCAAGTTAGTCAAAGTAAACAAAAGCGAACGCGAGTCGGTCTCGGGGAATCCGAGGACCGGACTCCATCGGGTCCGCGGGGGCTCCGGAAGCCGGGGCGACTCGACCCCTAGCACCGCGAGTCCAGCGGGGACTCCGGCCGAGCAACGAGGCTCCGGGGCCTCGTCACGGCTCTCCGCGCCCCTGTGCGGGAGGGCAGGCCGCGGGCTCACCTTGGACACCATCTTCTTCAGCTGGCTCTCGGACACCGCCATGGCGCCGTCCCCGCGGAGAGGGTCAGCGCCTCGGGGCCGCCCAAGCCGCCAGACAATCGCCGCGCCGCCCGCCCCGCCCCGCCGGAAGCCAGCACGCCGCGCGCTTCCGCCTCCGCCGCGCCACTTCCGGGCCGCGGTCGGGCTTGGGGGTGGGGCGCCCTGGACAGCTGGACGTGAGAGCTGCGCGGTTTCCGGCCTCGCCTGCCTCCGATCACGTGGGAGCAGGGCGGTTGGCTCCGAGAGCACGACGCCGAGGCATCCCGGTTGTCACGGTCACCCTTCAGGTCCTTTCCCGGGTTCGCTGGGGCAGTGAGGCGCCCTGGGGGGAGGCCGCAGACTGTGCCGCCCCGCGCTCTGGGCCCCGGCTGTCCCCGCCCAAGGCTGCGGTCCACTTTGCGTTGCCTTTGCAACGTCCTAAGGTGCGCTTCAGAGTCTTAATTGCCTTGTGCAGCGCAAGGGCGGTTATCGGTCTTAATTGAATTTCTACTTCCAATAAAAGTTTGTTGTAGAGACATGTTAGCCATCGTTAGTCCTCATCACCTGATCTAGAGAACGCACCTAGCCAAGACCTGAGCACCAGTCTGAGACTCAAGCACCGAGCTGAGTGGTGGAGCACACCAATCACCGGGGCCTCTTCTGGCCTCTCCACGTGCACACGCACTGCCTGACACATATCTTAAAAGTATGCCTTTCAGATTGTGCTTAAAACCACATGCAACCTAGAAGTACCTTCAACCACAGCAGCTGTCTCTATGAATTGGTAATGTATTGCTTAGGGATACCGGTAGACCCTGTCTCACAGAGACCACGCCTCTGGTCCCAGCACTCAGAGGCAGAGTTAGGCAGATCTCTGAGGCCAGTCTGGTCTACATAATTCCAGGCCAGCTGGAACTACTGGAGACCCATCTCAAGAAAACGTTTTCATAGGTGGTGGATGCCTTTAATCCCAGCACTCAGGAGGCAGAGACAGGCAGATCTTTGTGGGATCAAGGCCTGCCTGATCTCCAAAACAACTTGCAAACCAGGAGCTACAAGGAGACCCTGTCTCAAAAAGGGGGGAAGTTTTATTACTCTATTACTTTTCTGTTGCTGTGATAAAATACTGTGACCAAGGGAACTTATGAGTTTATTTAGCTTATAGTTCCAAAAGGGGGCAAGAATCCATCATGATGGGGAGCATGGCAGCAGAGGTGGCTGGAGTAGGAACGGAAGCTAAGTGCTCACATCTTCAAGCAGGCACAGGAAGCAGAGAACAACTAGAGATCCAGCAAGGCTTAAGAACTCTCTAAGCCTGCCCCCAGTGACATGCTTCCTCCAGCATGGCTGCACCTTCTAAGACCTCCCAATACAGTGCCACCAACTGGGAACAAAAATGTCCAAATACTTGGGAGCCTGTGGGGGACATTCTCATTCAAACCACCACATTCCCTTGGCTCCCATAGGCTCATGACCATATAAAATACAAACATGCATTTTAGTCTATCCTTAAAAGTCTCCATAGTTCCTACCAGTCTCAATACTATTCAAAAGTCCATAGTCTCTTCTGAGACTCAGGGCAGTACTTTAAGTCTCTACAAAATCAAAATACATATTACATATTCCCAACATACAGTGGAATTGAATACACATTCCCATTCCAAAAGGGAGGAATAGAGGCATAGAGAACAAATACCAGACCAAAACAAGACCAAAAACCAGCAGGGCAAACACCAAATCCAGTATCTCCCCGTCTGACTTCTGGGACTTTACTTCCAAAGGGCTTAAATGGCTCAGCCTCTCTACATTTGCCCTATGAAACATACATCACTCTCTTGGCCTGGTACCACTCCTTGTATGCAGTTCTCTTTGGCAGATGTCTCACAGCTCTGGCATCATGAACTTCTTGGGGTCTCCATTGCCAACCAGGCTTCACCATCATAGCTTCATGCAATGGCCTATCAGGGCCTTCTTGATGCAGGGATGTCCCTGCTGCATGCTGCCTGGCCTTGGTGGCTCTCTGAAACCTCGGGGAAGGACCGATGACCCTTCACTCTTGCATCTTTCATGCCTCCAAAGCCAGCACCAGGTAAATGACTGCCAAGTCTAGCTGCAAGTTTGGGATGGACCAGGCCTGCTTCATCCACTTTTAAAACTTTTCTCTCAGCATTTTCCTTTCACAAGTTGGGTAGTCTTACCCTGGAGGCACTTTCTCCATTGTTTAAGTGCAAACCTCTAGGAATCCTCTCCTTCAGCACACACCTTGGCTCCAACATTAATCTTCCTAGTGCTCTTTTTCAATTCAAACTGTATAGTCTCTATTTCTGCACCATTTGCTCTTTTCATTATAGGTCTGCATAATATTCATCACTAACAGCCACACCACCATTTCTACCTTAGGCTGTCTTGAAGTATCCTCCACCAAAGAAATTAGTCTATTGCTTTTCTTTTTTGGTTTTTGAGACAGTGTCTTCCTGCAGCCCCAGCTGTCCTGGAACTCACTATGTAGGTCAGGCTGGCCTTGAACTCAGAGATCCGCCTGCCTCTGGCTCCCTAGTGCTGGGATTGAAGGCATGTGCATTCCTTTTCAACTTAGCTTGGGGCAAGCTTTTGGTCTGTGGGCAGACTCCAGCCAGATTCTTTGCCAAAATACCTCAATTGCTGCTTAGGTCCTTATTTTCCTCTGGAAGTACATTGTTTTCAGGACTATATTCTTCCAGGAGCCTCCTAGAATGGCCTGTTAAGCTCTGCTTACAGCAATCAACCTCTTTTCTAGCCCAAACTTCCAAAGTCTTCCACATTCCTCACATGGTCAGGTTCTTCACAGCCAAGAGCCCACTCTCTGGTACCAATTTCTGTATTAGGGTTCTTTAAAGAAACAATTTGTAGAATGAATATATATGTGTGTATATATATATGTATATATAAATATAATAAATCCAGATATATATCTGGATATATATTAGTTTACAGGACAGAGCCTGAGTACTCCAACAATGGCTGCACTACACTGAAGAGGCAGTTGCTTAGTCCACGAGGTTGGATGTCACAGTAGTCCCGTTCTGGTGCTGAAGGCCTGATGTATTCTGGGAGAACTGCTACTCTTCAGTTTAGGTTGGAACTCTAAGAAGTTGGTCACAGCAGCGAGACGAACTCACCAGTGGGCAGGAAGGTGAGCACAAAGCAAGAGCTCCTTCTGCCACCAGAAGGTAGCGCCCACACTTAGGGAGGATCTTCCAGCTTCCTGATCCAATCAGGAAGGTCTCCCTTGTTTCAGTTAATCTCAGATTCAGTCCACACCCAGGATTAGCATTACATGCCCAATTTTATTTTTTTTTAAGTCTGGAAACAAGTGGTAAAGTCCATTTTCTTCATTTTATACTAAGGAACGTGGAATAACCGATGCAGATGCTATGTCAACTGCATGAAAAAACTTTAATCCAAATGCATTTTCTTTCACTTAATAAATCAGGCATCACATTTTTTTTTTCTTTTGTCTTTTTGAGACAGGGTCTCCCTGTAGCCCCAGCTGTCCTGGAACTCACCATGTAGACCAGGCTGGCCTTGAACTCACAGAGATCCGCCTGCCTCTGCCTCCCGAGTGCTGGGATTAAAGGCGTGCGCCACCACACCTGGCCACATAGTACTTTTAAAATCAAAGTTTACTTCATTCATTATTCTTGATATTTAAAAAAATGTAAATTGGAAAATGAAAAATTTATTTTACAGTACCAAAAATGTACTTTAATAGAAATCAAGAAGAGGCACCACATGCTTTTGGAAAAATGAAAGGTTTTTTTTTTTTTTTTTTTTTCCTTTGTCAGATAGCAAGAAGAAAAAAAATGTTTTATTCTTAAGTTTTTTTGTTGTTGTTGTTTTGTCTTTTTGAGACAGGGCCTCCCAGTAGCCTGAGCTGTCCTGGAACTATGTAGACCAGGCTGGCCTGGAACTCACAGAGATCCACCTGCTTCTGCCTCCCAAGTGCTGGGATTAAAGGCGTGCACCACCACGCCTGGCTTATTCTTAAATTTTTTAAAAGTGGAAATAAATCTCTCACTAGCCTTTTACAAAAGCCTGCATTTGACAACATAATAAGGGGGAAAAATCAATCAGAATTTATAACTTTTTAAAAAATATTTTTATTATTTTCATTTTATGTGTATGAGTGTATTACCTGCATGTATGTGAGTGCACCAGTGTTGTGCAATGCCAGAGGTCAGAAGAGAGCTTCGGAGTCCCTTGGAACTGGAGTTAAAGATGGTTCGTGGGTGCTGGGAATCAAACCTGGGTCCTCTGCAAGAGCAGTCAGTACTCTTAACCACTGATCCATCTCTCCAGCCCCTTATAACTTTTTTTTTTTGAGACAGAGTCTCACTATGTAGTTCTGGCTGGCTGGAACTTACTATGAAGACCAGGCTGGCCTCAGAGTCACAGAGCTCTGCCTGCTTCTGTTTCCCAAGAGCTAGGATTAAAGGTGTGTGCCAACACCTGGCTGGACTTGCAACTCTTAATGGAAGATTCAAACTTAACAGAAGGTAGACAGATACCACCTTAGGAAATGAACACTGATGCAGAATGTCCTTGTTGTACCCCAGCTGAGAATATGCCAACACTTAGTACATTTTCTTTGTAGGTCAATCAAGTCAACATCATCTAACCCATTGAAAAGTTTGGAGAAAATGAGAGTTAAGAGCAGAAGCCTTGTGACTGTTAAATTATCATCAAATCAGAGAGAGGAAGAAGTGGTATCAACCAGTTAATGGAACTTGTAACTGCTAATATCACTCAAGTAAATATGTGCGAGGAAAATTACTTCTATATTGTGATCTTTTACAAAGATTTATTTTTTATTTATCTGTAGGTGTGTTTGACTGCATGAGTTTCTGTGCACCACATATGTGCTGGTGCCCATAGAGGCCAGAAGCTGTTGGATCCCTTGAAATTGGGAGTTACAGGTAGTTTTACACCATCTGATGCTGGTGCTGGGAATGGAACCCAGGCCCTCTCCAAGAGAAGTACTCTCTTAACCGCTGAGCCATCTCTCTAGCCCCTATTCTGACCCTTACAGGGCAAGGATTATTTTTATTCATTCCTGAATGCTCAGACTCTAACAAAATACTTGGAATAACAGTAAGCATTCAGTTAATATGATACTGACATGTTCATTCTGTAACATAGGCAATGCTTGGCAATTCATCTTTTACAGCATTTTACAGTTAGATTATTAAGAGTATTGTGGTGGTTTGAATGAAAATGTCCCCCATAGGCTCCAAGTATTTGAACATTTTGTCCCCAGATGATGGTGCTCTTTTGGGAGATTTTGGAAGGTGTGGCTATCCCAGAGGAAGCACGTCACTGGGGTGGGCGTACAGAGTTCTTAAGCCTTGCCAGGTCTCCAGTCACTCTCTTGCTTCCTATGCCTGTGTGATGTGAGAGCTTAGCGTCTGCTGCTCCTGCTCCAGCCACCTCCAGCCACCTTGCCTCCCTGCTATGATGGACTGTAATTCCCCCGGAACCATAAGCTCAAATAAACTCTTCCTTCTATAAATTGCTTGGGTCAGTGTTTCTATCACAGCAACAGAAAAGTGACTAATACAAGTATATTAGAAATTAGGTTTTATAAAGGTTGGGGATATAGCACAGTGGTAGAAGACTTGCCTAGCATGTACCAGATCTTAGGTTAGACACCCGCACCCAACACTAAAAAGAATTGTTGCTGGGCATGGTGGTCAGCACTCATGAGGCTGAGGGAGGAGGACTGCTGTGAGTTCAAGGCCAGCCTGAGCTACAGAATGAGACCCTGTCCCAAAAACAAATGAAAAGAGAAAATTAAGATTTTTAGGAATTATCAAATTTCCAATTAGCACCTATTAGAAGATTAAAGTACACAAGAATTGTTTCAGCAATAATCTGTATAGAATGCTTACATCCTCAAGAACTGAAAGTTTTGTTTTTGTGTTTCTAGGATGAAACCCATGTCTGACAAACACCTTTTCCCAGAGCTATACCACTAGCCCAAAAGGTTTTTATCCAGTTAAATCTTATGGGAGTCTTTTTAAGCATATTAAATACTTTTCTATGTTCTTTTGTTAAAATTTTTATTATTTTTATTTTATGTGTAGGAGTGTAGTGCCTCCACGTGTGTAAGTGCACCCATGTTGTGCAATGCCTGTGGAGGTCAGAAAAGGGAGTCAGATTCCCTGGAACTGGAGTTCTGGAAGTTATGAACAGTTGTTAGCTGCCATGTGGGTGCTGGGTATTGAACACAGGTCCTTTGTAAGAGCAGCCAGTGCTCTTAACCACTGAGCCATCTCTCCAGCCCTTTTCTGTTTTTTTTTTTTAATATTCTTTTTTAGAAAAATATTTTATTTATTATTTTTATTTTATGTGTACAAGTGTATCGCCTGCATGTATGTGAGTGCACCCATGTCGTGCAATGCCACAGAAGTCAGAAGAGGGCTTTGGATTCCCCTGGAACTGGAGTTAAGGATGGTTTGTAGCTGCCATGTGGGTGCTGGGACTCGAACCCGGGTCCTCTGCAAGAGCAGTCAAACACAGGATACTGAGCTGCCGTTTTAACTATTGAATATCCCACTGATAATTAGATTACCTCCTTTCTACCTAAAAAATTTGTGCCCTTACAAACTATTGAGTTCCTCTCCCTGACCAGACTTGGATTCACCTATTACATGCTTTTAAAACAGTCTGGACTTCTTTACAATTCTTACTACACTGGCATTTGAACATTTACTTGTTATTTCATTACTGTTTCCTGTGTTAAGACTGTAAGCACTGGCAGGGCTTGGTTTATAAGAGATTCCTACAAAATACTAGATGGACTGCTAAATAAATACCCAACCTGAGTGCATATCCTCTCTGTTGCTATCTGTTGAAGATCTGGGAAGCCAGAGGATCAATCTTTTCTTTTTGAGACAGGTCTTATTATGTAGCCCTGGCTGGCCTGCAAGTCATTATGTAGAGTAGGTTGGCCTCAAACTCACAAGATCTGCCTATCTTTGCCTACAAAGTGCTGGGATTAAAGGTGTGCTCCACCACATCTGGCCTTTACTTTTTCTTTAAAAAAGTTTAAAGTAATTTCCTACAGGAGAATGAAAGTAATTCATAGTATTCAAAATTCCAGTTTTAGGATCATGTGATAACTTGGCTGTTAGGCCTCTTAGGCTTCCCCGAATCCACTGCTACCTATAAAAAGTAGAGGTTTTATGGGTAAGTAATGCCTCTTAAAACCCATATGGTGTTAAGACATTAAAACTCAGTTTCCTTCTTTAGAATGATGATGAATAGTCAGGAAGTTAATGTGAGGATTCAATAAAGAGCTCACTGTAAAGTGCTGTGTTAGCTGCTGCTATAAGTTGTATGCCACAGCAGGGATAACGCTGTCTTTACCATATGGAAATGTCGCTCTGAACAATCAAAGCACATGCAGTCTGAACTGTTTCTTCTGGAGTGATTAAAGGGTTTGCTCACAAGTACCAGACCATTCAACTTCTCTTCCTTAAGAATAATGATCTTTATGAAAGCCTTGTATATTGGTCTCAAGACCTATTGCTTAGCTGTTATTCCTCTCTGTGACCACAGAAATACACAAGTCCCTGTTTCCTCTAATAGCAGTATGCTTATGGTATGCTGGAGAGCTTACACCCCAGGAAGAGGCTGCAGACCATTTCAGAAAGGAAATCTCACTGGAAATTAAATTACATACAATTTTTCTTCATAGATTAATAAGATTTTATTTTACTATAAAGTACATACTAAAATTCATCCTAGATTTTGATAGCAAATGAATTTTAAGAAGGAAAATGAAATGCTTTGCCATTATTATCAACTGTATTTTGATTTTTATGTGTATGAGTATATTGCCTGCATGCATGTAGGGCACCCATGTCATGCAATGCCTACAGAGATCAGAAGAAGGTGTCCAATCCCTTGGAACTGGAGTTATGGACAGTTGTCCATGTGGGTGCTGGGAATCAAACCTGGGTCCTGTGCATGAGTAGTCAGTGCTCCTAACTGCAGGGCTATCTCTCCAGTCCCTCAATTGTATTTTGTAAATGCAACGTTAATACTTTAAGCCAAGAGGTCTCTGAGTATGTACCCAGCATGAATTTTGTACCTAAGGCAGTTTTGGGTTTTCAGCTTATCATGTTTAGCATAAATACCTAATAGGAATCATTTAAAAATGTGTTTCTTCCAAGACATCTCCAAAGTGCTGGATGTGCTTTGAATTTAGGATAATTTAAAATTATATACATTGAAAATGAATGTTTATCCCTGCTGCAGGCTTAAACAGTATAGGTATGTCAAGAATTTACAAAGAAAATTAGATCTTTTCCTCTTATCTAACTTTTCAAGGATTCAAATAATAAAGCTAACTAGAAACCATGTACCGTAAAAGCAGTTTGTAAGAATAAATAAGCTGTGAAGTTCTCAAAAATATACATACTGGCAAAATAAAACACCCTTTCCCCCTTTCAGGCAAACGCATCTGAGAGTCAAAGTTTCAGCCGCTGCTGGAGACTGTGGATTGAGGACGCACTGCTCTGGAGCTTCTCAGTGACTGTGTCTTTTGTGGTGCTTGTGATGACTTTGGATATTCCACTGGCTCCAAGGACGCATGGCAAACTTAAAAACACTTCATTATCTATACCATAATATCCCTGAAATGAAAAAATGGAGATTATAATTGAGCTGAAAACATAAAAATAATTCTTGCCTTTTGAGCACAAAGTGATAAAACTTTAATTTTTCATTTGCTTATTTTCCCAAACTCAAGTTACTGCTTCAGAAAATTTTTTGCGATGGAAGGAAGTTGGTCAAAGACACCTCTTTATAGGAGAGTAAACTAGCTGTCTACAATATCACACAGGGACTAAGTAAAAAAAGTAGATTACTTGGAGACAGGCAGAGGTATGGGCCCTGGGCACAGTCAAATACAGTAAGATATTTTAAGTTTTCCTTTCTTGGTTATATTTCCCTCTTGGTATTCAAGAAAACTGGACTAAGCACTTGTGCCTCGTCTCAGCTGTGCTTTGGGGAATTTATGCTCTGGCAAAAGAGAAAAAACTGGGGTGACTTGCTGACTGATAAATGACACTAAGAAAAAGTATATGGACTACATAAACACTTTTAGGGATTCCATATATGACAGGAGGGTGAAAAGGCAGCCTGACTATCCAGACTTGCTGCAGCTAGGTGGGATGGGGGCAGACTAAACTCCACGTCCAACACAAAAAGCTGGTGGTACTGAGGGCACCCACTAGAGTGTGAACAGCGGCCTGGCTGCTTTTATTCTGTTACACAAACATTTATGGTACAAGAATGAAGAGTGGAGTTACCTGTGCTAAAACTGACACAGAGTGTACTTTCTTTTTATTGTTTACAACAGTCTCTACCAGGTCAGCCACTGACAGTCCAACAGACCAGGATCTTTGACCTTTCACCCTCAGAAGTTCCATGGCTCTAGATAAAAAAAAAAAAAAAAAAAAAAAAAAAAAAAAAGATCAAAAAGAACGTACAAAACATGGCACAATTTTTTTTTTCGTCTTTTTATTCTCAGCTGGCCTGGAACTCACTATGTAGACCTTGAACTCACAGAGATCCACCTGCCTCTGCCTCTTAAGTGCTGGGATTAAAGGCATGTACCATCACACCTGGCTTTCCATTTAGTTTTACATTCTGTTTAAGTATCAAATATTTTTATGAGACAAAAGTTAAACAGTAATTTTTTGGAAGGCTTGAAGATAACCTAATGATTACTTAACACTTTTCCTAAAATGTCAGATTCACAAAGAAATAATAAAATGCCCTCATAACATAAAAGGATGCTCACCACCTTGACTATTTAACTAAATATTAAACAAAAAATATCAGTTTGGCCCCAAAAATTGACGAAGAGTAAGAAATACTGATGCTTTGGAGAATCTGTAAGTAAGCAATCCCTCTGCTGTTCAGAGTATAAAGTGAGCTTTTAGGGAAATCTGGTAACAGCTGATCAGAAATTCTTTTTCTAGAAATTTATTCTACAGCAATAAGCTCCAGTGTGCAAAGATATACTTTTGCTGTGTTTGCAAACAACTCACCAATGTCACACCATGTGTGACATTAAAGAAACTAGGGCAGATTACTATGTACAGCAATGAAAGACATGATCAATCATGTTGCAAAATAGTATGGACAGCAGCATAAATCTATTATGAAATTAATCACATATATGGAGAAACATTAGAAACAAGGTGGGGAACAGGTAGACATTACACAGTATTTGTCGCTGGAAGATGGGATTATTCCAGTTTTTTACACTCTATAAATAGCTTCAGTATTTGAAGTTTAAGGATAACCATACATTTTTTAAATAAAAAAGTAAACAATTGTTTAAATTTATTTCATTTATTAAGGGGTAAAATATGTTCACGGCCCAAGTTTGATCTCCAGCACTATCAAAAAAACCCAAAATAGGGGCTGGAGAGACGGCTCAGTGGTTAAGAGCACTGGCTGCTCTTGGAGAGGACCTCAGTTTGATTCCCAGCACCTGCATGGCAACTAACTGTCCTTAACTCTTGTTCTAGAGGACCTGATGCCCTCTTCTGACCTCTGCAGGCATTGCATGACATGGTGCACTTACATACATGTAGGCAAAACACCTACACACATAAAGTTAAAAAATAAAAAAAAAAACTATTAACACAGTATTATTTAATCAGAATAAATAATCTGACCTACCACTCTTTTCAGTTGTCACATTCTAAAAATCATGAGTGGAGTATCTAAAAATCTCAAATTCATCACCTGGAAGGCCTCCAAATAAAGACAAAGATCCCAGGATCTGTGCATGGTGCACCCCAATACTGTGGCATACACTATGTGAAGCAATCATCTTAGACTGTTTTCCACATGTATTTATGGGTGTTTGGTACATATTGATTTCTAGGTGGTATGAACAATTCTCTTTTACACTAAAACCTGTTGATATCCTGTGATTAAATACAAGAGAACAAAGTAAATCACTGTCTACAAATGAGGACACTGCTCTGCCCTTTAAGTGTCAACAGTGTCATCTAGACAGGTCTGTAAAGCACTCCTATACCCACTGTTAGAGCTGAAACCCTACACTACACAGCACTATTCTGTTCCTTTACGTTTCTGGATTTCCTCATATGAGCTATTTTTGTTTATAGAGACTGGTAAGAAACTGCTGTGTGAGCACTTAGTCCTGACGTACAGGCTCGGGTTGGGTATATGCAAATGTACACTTGTACCTGTTGGACAGCTGTGCCCAAGCACCATAGCTTGTTGCTTCATCGTGGTCACTCCACATGGACACTAGAAGTTAAACAAAGATTTAGTTACATTTGCCAAAGATTATTTTAAAATTAAGATGTGATAAACATCTGGTCCTGTGAGTTCAGGGCCAGCCTGGTCTACACAGTGAGTTCCAGGGAAGCTGAGGCCACAGGGAGACCCTCTCTCAAAAAGAAAAAAATAAATTTAAAAAATTCATCCGCACTACAGTAGGGGACCAAGTGAGACTTCCCCAAACTGTCCCCAAATTGTCCAGTGTTCAACCCCCCTGCACTGGGAGGTGAGGCCCCTCCCATTTCACCAGGGCTAGACTTCTCTGCCCTACAGTAGGAGCCAAGACCTCAGACTGCCTGAGAGTGCCTAAATCAGGCCTCCCCTTAGTGAGCTTCCCAAATTGTGCTGAGAGTGCCTGCTAGTAGGGGTCCAGACATTAGAAGGAAGCCTGAGTGTACCTGACTTGAACCTGACTTGGGCCTCTGTGGGAGCTCCTAAGTAGCTGAACTGAAGCCATCAGTTCCCTCCAAAATAAAATCTGAGAAGACCTGAAACCTAGACCAACCAGCTTTACATACCCAATAAGACAAGGGACACCAATAAAACAAGCAGAAACAGTCTTCAACTCAACAAAGGAGGGCTTGAGTTTCATACCAGAATCACAACAAAAGAAATCCATATGCAAAAATCACAATGGAAAAATAATAATTATATGGAAAACCAAAACAGTATGTTCCCACCAAACTCCATCAGTCCTATAGAAGAGTTCTATAAGGAGACCCCCTACATAACCCAGGACATTTAAAAGAACAATCATAAACATGATCAAGGAATTCAAATGAATTTAAAGAACCCACAAACAAATCAAAGACTGAGGAAGAAACCAGAAGATGGAAGGACCTCCCATGTTCATCAATTGGAAAAATTAGTATTGTAAAAATGATCATCCTACCAAAAGCCATTTATAGATTCGATCTAATGCCAATAAAAATCTCCATGATATTCTTCACAGAATTAGAAAAAAAAATCCTTAAATTCATATGGAAACACAAAAGATGTTGGATATCCAAAGCAACCCTGAGCAAAAGAGCAATGCTAGGGGGATTACTATACCAGATTTTAAACTGTATTACAGAGCTATAGTCATAAAAACAGCAATGGTACTGGCTAAGATCAAGAGAACAAATGACACCAAATGCTGGCGAGGATATGGAGAAAGGGGAACACTCATCCACTGCTGGTGGGGTTGCAACTCGTGCAACCTGTATAGAAAGCAGTGTGGAGTACTCTGTAAAACTAAATATGAACCTCTGTTTTTTAGTAGCCCACAGATTCTAATTTGTGCTGTTCATATACTTCTGGGTGTGGGGCCATCCAATAGAATACAACCATGTTTGTTGCTGCTCTTTTCACAACAGCTAAGAGACGGAAGCAACCTAAGTGTCCCTCAACTGATGAGTGGTTAACAAAAATGTGGTACATTTAGACAATGGAGTTCTACTCAATGGTAAAGAAAGATGAAAAAATGAAATTTGCAGGTCACTGGATGGATCTTGAAACTGTTATACTAAGTGAAGTAACACAGACTCAGAAAAACAAATGACGTATGTTCTCTCCTCATATGTGGATCCTAGAACCAAATCCTTTTAAATTCCAGGTCCTTTTTAAAATTTTATTATTTTATTTAATGTGTATGTGTGTATTGCCTGCATGTAGGTAAGTGCACCCATGTCGTGCAATGCCCATGGAGGTCAGAAGGGGCTGTCGGATCCCCTGGGACTGGAGTTACGGACAGTTGTTAGCTGCCACGTGGGTGCTGTGATTCAAACCTGGGTCTTCTGCAAGAACAACCAGTGTTCTTAACTACTGAGCCATCTCTCCAGCCCCAAATTCCAGGTCCTTTTAATAAGATGATGCTATACAGCAGTTCCTTCTGCATGAAATAACTACCTTCATCACGACTTCATCTGAGCCTGATTGCTAAACATAGTTACAACTGGGCTTGATGACGGTTGTGCTCATTCATTAAAGGAGGGCCAAGCAGGGTCACTGGACCTCACTGCATTATCCAGCCACTCTTCCCAGCCAACTGAATGTAATTTGACCCTAATAACACATAGCGTCCTGGATTTGGGGAGGGCTAAAGCACACAATCTCTGGAAGGCTAGGAAGAGAAGGCATAACCCATGCTAGATAAAGACTATCCAACATGCAAACCCTCAGGTCATACATACACCTCGGCAACCCCTCAGTTATTGCGTTAAGTAAGCTCAATAAATTCAATGGTTCCCCAGTAAAACTTTAATGAAACATTGGCTTGACAGGAGAACCTTAAATAAGCATTGCTTAGCATCCCCCAGAAAAGAAGTTTCACAACCAATGGAAAATTTGTTAATGTTATTATGTCTCATAATCATTAAAAAAAAGAAAGAAAGAAAATGAGAATGTAAAAGATGTTAAAAGGAGATATATGGGAATGGAGTTATTTCCCAAAATAGAAAAAGTGAGAAAGCCTAAGCAAGTGATAAAGGTCTGTTTAGGTTTGTTATACATAAAGGATGAGACAAAAATAATATATACATAATCTTAAAATTTCTATGGTCATAGTTTAGTCAACTAGTTTAAGGAACAAAATATATATCTAGTCATTTTTTTCTGAGAATATTTGATTGTTTTTAATCCAAGCCTTAGCACATGATAATTAAAAGTACCAGACTGGTGGAACTAGCCTTATTGGATGTTTAACAGCCATAGTTTGAGGCCTATACTAATGTGGCAAGAGGGACTAAAGGACAGTTTTTGCCCCTTGCCCTCCAAGGTTGACCAAGTGCCAGTGGACTATGGAACTGGCAGAGTTCTCTCTCCTGTAACTGTGGTGAGTCACCTGTCCTCTTGTTCAGGGAGGACATGGAGACCCCACAAGATGGACTTGAACCAGTGTCCAGTCTACAGAGAGGAGGGTCAACTTAGAGGAAATATCTCATTCATGCTTCCAAGTGAAGCCAGACATGGTTGAACAGGACCTTTGACTAATCTTCACATAGATGGAACAGGTCAAAGAAAGGAACTAGAAGCTCCTCCCAAGCTCAGGTGACCCTTGAGGAACAGATCCTCAAATGACCTTAAGTGTAAAAATAAACTGATTTATTTGGGCCAACTGTATGGTTTTAAACACCCAAAAGGAAAGTATAACCAAAGAGTAAAGTCATCAATATACTTCTTTAAGAGTTCATGGGACTACACTTCCCAGACATTAGGCTTAAGTCTATATAAAAAGTTATTTAGACAATTATTTCTCATTGATGATTTTGTTCCTAACCAGAAAATGCTACTCACATGTAAGACTTCAAACCTTAGTTTCCAATACTGTAGTGCCCACCTGTAGCTAAGGAAGACAACCAGCTGCTGTTCTAAAATGATGGATAAATTTGTTTCTCCCTCTATTTCAGAAGCCTTTGAGAGGGAACTGACACTGATTCTAACCACTCCAACAGCTATCAAAATACCTGAAAGCAAACCATGAATCCATCACTCTAGAGTCCAGCCTTGGAAGACAAAAGAAAAATGAGGAGGAACCCAATAGAG